GGCCAGCTCGCCGGGCAGCAGCAGGCGCACGGCCGTCTGGATCTTCCCGGGACGTGATGGTCGAGCGCTTGTTGTAATGCGCCAGGCGCGTCGCCTCGCCGGCGATGCGCTCGAAGATGTCGTTGACGAAGGAGTTCATGATGCCCATGGCCTTGGACGAGATGCCGGTGTCGGGGTGGACCTGCTTGAGCACCTTGTACACGTAGATGGAATAGCTCTCCTTGCGGCTGCGCTTGCGCTTCTTGCCATCCTTCTTCTGGGCCTTGGTGACCGCTTTCTTCGAGCCCTTCTTGGGCGCGGGAGCGGACTTGGCCGGCTCAGGCATAGCGGGAAGCACCAGCGGCAGGAAAGAGATCAGGCACGCAAAGACAACAGCGGGACCGGGGCTACCGGAAGCGGCTCGGTACTTATAGAGGCTGTATGCAAATTAAGGTCCCGAGTACGCCGCGTTGTGATTGGCGGGCTTTCAGTGGCTCTCGTTTTAGGGTGGGGACGAGAGTATGCAAATAAGTGTATTCTGCCTGCGCTCTCCTATTGGCCATCAGGACAAAGCTATGCTTTAGCCAATCAGAGTGCTCGGTGAACAATCGCCGTTCTGCCTATAAAAAGGTGAAAGGGAGCCGTTTAGGGCGACTTTGCCGGTCGTCAGTCGGGAGTTGCTCGCAGTACGTGTGTCGCCGTCATGTCTGGTCGTGGCAAACAGGGAGGTAAGGCCCGCGCTAAGGCCAAGTCCCGCTCTTCCCGTGCCGGCCTCCAGTTCCCGGTGGGGCGTGTGCACCGTCTCCTGCGCAAGGGCAACTACGCCGAGCGGGTGGGAGCCGGCGCGCCCGTCTACATGGCGGCGGTGCTGGAGTACCTGACCGCTGAGATCCTGGAGCTGGCGGGCAACGCGGCCCGAGACAACAAGAAGACGCGCATCATCCCCCGTCACCTGCAGCTGGCCATCCGCAACGACGAGGAGCTCAACAAGCTGCTGGGCAAAGTCACCATCGCCCAGGGCGGCGTTTTGCCCAACATCCAGGCCGTGTTGCTCCCCAAGAAGACGGAGAGCCACCACAAGGCGAAGGGCAAGTGAGGCCGTGCGTCTGGCGCCCGCCCAGCCCCCCGTTTCGAAAGGGGCACCTCTGAAATCAAAGGCTCTTTTCAGAGCCACCCACTCTTTCAAATAAAAGAGCTGTTATTATCGTACCCAGTCTCCTCCGTCCCCACGTCCGCAGTAGAAAGTGCTAACCCTGCCCGCATGCGCAGGGCTGGCGGGGCCAGCCATTTGCCTTCGCCTCCCAACCGCCCCTCCCCGCTCACATCCCGAGCACTTCGCCGCCTGGACTGGGCGGGATGGGCCGGGCCGTAAACCTTAAGGACGCGATCACGGCAGGTGAGGGAACCAGCCTCTCGGCTACAACGCCTCTGAGAGGCGACCCCCGGCGCGCAAGTTCCCTCACCCCCGCCCGAGACCTATGCCCAGCACTTGTTAGGGAGGCCCAGTAGGGAGGGGACATTCACTGACACAACACACCCACCCCAGTCGGTAGGAGGGCCGATCGACCCCTTTTCGGGACTGGCGAACCTGGAGCTTGGCCTAACTGAGCCGACTATCTAATTCTAAAGGTTTCCTGTTGTTTTTTCCCAAGCGAGAGGACGCCTTCCCGGGGGAGGTTAGGGCCTTCGGGGGCGGGGTCTTGTGCCTGGGGCGGGGGCGGGGGCGGGGGCGGGCAATTTTCCGGTCCGAAAGGCGGGAAAAGCGGTCCTTCAGATTGACAAAGGGGCCTCCGGGGGCGGGCCGGGGGGGGGGGGGGGCAGAAGGAAGATGGAAGCTCGATTCCGGCGTGGAAAGGAAGAGGGCATTGCGGATAGCGTGCCTTAAGGAGTGAAAGGGCAACGGAGGGGCGCCCTGACAGTTGAGGTTCTAAAAAGAAAAAGGACTCGGCCCGAAAGAAAGGAAAAACCAGGCAGAAAAAGCTGTTGGCAAACCCGAAAGTAGAAAGTGAGGCGAGGGGGTGGGGCAGGGGAGATTCTGCCCCAGCCAATCGGGCACGCCGGGGAGGGTGACGTCACAGCCAATGAACAGCCAGCGCGGGACTTTCAATTTTACCGTCCCGCCCAATCGGGAAAGGACTGTGGCTATAAAGGCGGCTGCGGCGGCCCGGGACCTCGCTCTCGCTCCCGCCGTCGTGTCGTGCAGGTTGCGCCTCGCATCGCCATGGCCCGTACGAAGCAGACCGCCCGGAAGTCGACCGGTGGCAAGGCTCCGCGCAAGCAGCTGGCCACCAAGGCGGCCCGCAAGAGCGCGCCGGCCACGGGCGGCGTGAAGAAGCCGCACCGCTACCGCCCGGGCACCGTGGCCCTGCGCGAGATCCGGCGCTACCAGAAGTCGACCGAGCTGCTGATCCGCAAGCTGCCCTTCCAGCGCCTGGTGCGCGAGATCGCGCAGGACTTCAAGACCGACCTGCGCTTCCAGAGCTCGGCCGTCATGGCGCTGCAGGAGGCGAGCGAGGCCTACCTGGTGGGTCTGTTCGAGGACACCAACCTGTGCGCCATCCACGCCAAGCGCGTCACCATCATGCCCAAGGACATCCAGCTGGCCCGCCGCATCCGCGGGGAGCGGGCCTAAGAAGTGCGCGCTCGGTTCCAGGTTCCATCGCATCCAAAGGCTCTTTTCAGAGCCACCCACAAGTGCACTGAGAAGCTGTAGTACTTGGGCGTCCGTGTATCCATGCAGGGAGTTGGGGGGGGGTTGGGGGTTGGGGGAACCGGGGGCGGCACTCCCAACACGGAGGGTGGGTGGTAAGCTCCGGGCATCCAGGCCTAGTCGCTTCTACCGGCCGCCATCGGGGATGTATGCCACTCAGCCACCTTGAGGCGTGCGCCCTAAACATGGCCGCTCCTCGGACAGTCGTGCCTGCTGGCGCTCTGCTGGGCGGTCTCTCTCAAAGTCGGGGATCAGAGGTGGACTCGAGCCGGGAGCACTCACGACCCAGAGCGCACCCGGGAGGCCTCCCGGCAGCTCAGTGCCGCGCGCCCCCTCCCGAAATGGCCTCACCCGACGCGGCTCTCGACGCTTTCGTCCCGAGGCCTGTGCTTCTTTAAGCAAATCCCCGGCCCTAGGTGGGGGCGGGGGGAAGCCTGTGTGGACACATGCCCGTGGGCCACTTGGGAGCTGGGTTGGCAACGGACCAGGTCCGCAGAGCGAGGCTCCCCGCACCCCCACCCCCAACGATGCCCTGAAGGCTTCCGCCTGTGTCCGGTTGCTCTGCCCACACGTGGTTGCTCCACTTTTCCGTAAAGCTCCCTTTGCCTCTCGATGTGTCAGAAAAGGGGAGAGCAGTGAAGGGACTGGGGCCCCCCTGCCTCAGGATCACCGCCATTTCCAGAGCACGCCCCTCGCTCTCGGCCCAGTCCCTTACTACTACCTGCGTGGGGAGGCCTCAGTGCAGGCTGCGTCCCTTGGCTCGGGTCTGGACCCCGGGGTTAGCAAGTACTGGTGACTTCACAGGTGTGACTTCAGGGGGGCACCTCAAGGCAAACCTGGTGGGGACTAGACCCACACGGCGCTTTCTGAGATACAGTCTGAGGCTCTCGGGTGCGTGACTTGCCCAGGATCTCAGGTCCAGGATCTCAGGTCCGGGAGCCAAGTAGCTGAGCAGGCCCTGAAACCTGAGGTGCCCCTGTCAGGTATCTGTCCTCGCCATGTCCTCTGCCTGACCCCCAGAGGCCGCTGCTTTCCTCTACCAGCCTCTACTGCCCCCTCTCTCCCGGCTCACTCACAGGAAGCCTCCCTGTCCTTGTGCTCCTGTCACAGTCAAGGCCTCCGCCACCCTCACAGCAGTGCAGTCTTTCAAACCTTTCTGTTATTGCTTCCGGAGGCCGGCACAAACTTGACTTCATCCATACAAGAGGACGATAGAAGATGTAGGTTTTCACTTTTGATCGTTCCTGTACTTAAGTCACTTCCCTACCCTCAGGGGAGAGTTCAAGGACAATAAAGGACAAGGTAAGTATTAATGCTCTTCCTCTGACAGGTAGCTTCCGCCTGGCTAGCTTGGGTTGCAGGAAAGGTCTACCCTGGACCTGGGACTTGACCAACTGAAAACATGTCTTCCTTCAGACCGAACTCTGCCTTGGCGTGGCAGGGGCTGGCGCCTGAGCCAGCATGGAAGCTAGTGTGGCCCTGTTGACGCCTGTGCTTCCTTGGCAGGGGACTTGGCCTGTGGGTTCACGCCCTCTCCTGGTCGTCCTCCTGACCCTTCTCCAGGTCCCCATCCCAGCCTTCTCCTCTTTCTCCTCCGGGCCCATCCATGTCCTGGGCTCACCCCTGCTGGCCTTTGTCCTTCCTACCTGCAACTCGAGTGAGATCGTGGGTTACACGCTTTCCCTCTCTCTGCCTCTGACAAGCGCTCCCAAACCGGTATCTCCTGCTCAGACCCCTGTCCTGAACTCCACACCAATGTTTTTCTAACTGCCTTGTGCCTAGGTCCTTCTGGATGGATAATGGCTTATCTCCAAAACGGCACCATCTGGCTTCCCCAGGCTACTTTTCACACCTCTCCTCTTCATGAAAGACACCTTTGGCTCCCCACCCCCAGCCCCCAAGCTGTTTCAGGGCACGAGTTCCTTCCTCGTGGCCTTTGTCCAAGTCTCAGGAGTCAACAAATGTTCAATCAAATCTACTTTCTGTCTGCCTCCCTCCTTCCCTCCCTCCCTCCCTCCATGCCCCGGCCTTAACTGATGCCTTCACCAGCTCTGAGTATTCAGGATAGACTCTGCCCGGCCACTAAGCTTCCACTCTTTGAGCCTGTCACTCTCTTGCTGAAAAATTTCCGACCTCCTTCCCAATTCCCTTCAGAATGAAGTCCACCTTCTTTTGCACGGCCGTTCAGAGCACTGTTGGGTAATGTCCACTAGGCACTCTGCTCCGGGACAAACGGGAATTTGAATCCCCGTCTTGCCCAGACAACAGAACAGGTAGGTGGCTCTCCCAGCAAATGAATCTCTGCAGGCCTCACTTTTCCCCACTCTAAAATGGGGGGAATAGCACCTTGCTAATGGTGCTGGTGGACGTATTCAGGGATGCTTCTTAACAAGCGCCTGGCATGCTCTCTGGTCCACAATAAGCATCCAATTCGAGTTAGCAATTCCATTAATAGCTGCCTTTTAATCCCATTAAAAGGCAACGAAAAAATTAACCTTAATATACATCTGCTTCCTGGGAGTTCTCAGAGCCTCCCCGGGTTTCGGGTGTTCTGCCAGCTGAACCCAGTAGGTTCTAGCCCCACAGGGCATCTGCGATCCCCAAGTAGACGGTGTCTTCACACATTTCTGTTTCTTCTGTGTGGAAGGCCCACCCCCTCTCTAGAGCCCTGGGGGCCCCTGAGCTTCAAGATCCAGCCCCTTTCCTTTCTCCTCCTCACCCTCCTCCGGGAGGAACTTGCAGGGTCGGGGTCACAGTGCCCGTAGGCAGGGTGTCTGGAAAGCCCCGGGAATGGCCACAGTCCCAGGTTCAGCCTGCTCTTGGTGAGAGCAACTGAAAAGAGTTCACTGAGCTGCACCCCCACCAGCGTCCCCAGTCTGTTCCTGAATTCAGAGAACCTGGGCAGGACCATCTGCTTTTATATCCCCAAAGATGTCACATTCGGCCGTGCTGACAATTTTCTGGGGATGGGGTAGAGGCTTGGGGTATGGTCAGGGGCTGAGAGGGAGGTACATACAGAAATGCAGGAAGAGGAGGAAGGACGGCACAAAAGAAAAAGGGGATGGGTAACAGACCGCTAGGGTCCTCCCTGCTATAAAGGGGTGAGGGGGGAGACAGCCTGGTTAAAGCTGGAGGTCCTTTATGGCTAACTTCTATACAGGGAAGTTCCAGCCTCCACCCCCACCCTTCACCCCTGTCCCCAACGGATCCGTTTCTGTAGAAATGGGCATTCAGATAGTGCAATACCAGCACTGTCCTGATTGGCTGGACCCGCACAGCGACCGCTGCGGGACCCCGCGGATTGGTCAGTAATTGTCCAAATGCGGACACAGCTGCGCGACCCCCACTGGACCCGCAAGGGTGGCATGGAGAAGGGTCGGCTCGGCAAGCAGGAACCAAAGCACTCGGCATTGCTTGTCTAAGCGACTCACTGTTACAACAGAGGGGCAGCTTGGAGAACGGCTGGTGCTAAAGGAGGTTGGGGGGCGCTCTAGTGCCCACGTCCTATAGGTGCCCAGCTCCCCAAGGACTCTCTGGGTGGCCCTAAAAAGGGCCTTTAGGGTGGCCGCACACGCGAGCCCGCAGCAGAGGCTTAGCCCCCGAAGCCATACAGGGTGCGGCCCTGGCGCTTGAGCGCGTACACCACGTCCATGGCCGTGACCGTCTTGCGCTTGGCGTGCTCCGTGTAGGTGACGGCGTCCCGGATCACGTTCTCCAGGAACACCTTCAGCACCCCCCGCGTCTCCTCGTAGATGAGGCCCGAGATCCGCTTGACACCCCCACGCCGAGCGAGGCGGCGGATGGCGGGCTTGGTGATGCCCTGGATGTTGTCTCTCAGGACCTTGCGGTGCCGCTTAGCACCGCCTTTGCCCAGCCCTTTCCCGCCCTTGCCTCTCCCGGACATGGCTGCTCGTACCACGAGGTGAACCCACCAGGCGCCGTGCCAGAAGGGGAGCTCGGCCCCCTGATATACGAGACCGTCGGACCGGATTGAAAACCGCGAGCGGTCGTCATGGTCCCCGCCCCTCCGCCGTTTCTCTCCCCCCCTTCCGCCCTCAGGCCGCCCTCTAGCGGACACTATCCGCCACGGTCCCGGGAGCATTCGGATCCCAAGGCCCGGCTTCCGGATTCCACAGCTGTTTTCGTCTCCTTCTCGCCATCATTCTTGCTGCTCTTCCCCTGGTCCTCCTCCCCCACCCCTTCACTGTGTATCAATAGGACGTCAGACATTGTCTATATTCAGATGTCTATTCAAAGCCTGACACAAGCCCCACCTCAACAGCCATGCTCTCCTTCCCAGATTCCCTGCAGGCAGTCGCTTGTGTCATTAAGATTCCTATAGTAATTATTGTCTACATTTCTTCACTCTATTTTATTTTTATCGTTGTCTACATTTTTTATCATACTGTTACAGGATTCCAGTAATAGGAATAGGGAAATTGAGACAGGAAAGTTAAGGCCAAACAGTATGGGAAATTTGCAGCCAGTTTGTAAATAACAAGCCATTATCTTCCCCAGCCAAAGACACTTGAGAGCAAATGATTAAAAGCCTCCCTAACAAGAGAATGCAGGAATAGAGGGGGAAGGGGAAAGAGGGGAAAAGGGGCAGTTTTACTCCGTAAGCCAGTGGTTCTCTGCCGGACACAGTCGCTGCAGGGAAGAAACATCTGCACAGCATATGTTTCAAGGTACCTGGCGTATACAGCATACTGCACTTAATATGTTTGCTCCCCCTTTTTTAGCGCTATGTGTTCTCTAACCAGAACCACCTCCCTGAGAAAGGTTGTTTCCCCAGGCGGGGATTTTTCCCTGGAGTTAAGGATTAACAGGACTAAGGAAGAGAATAAATCAGTAAATCCCCCTAGTGTTACAGAAATACCATGTACTACTTATGAAGAACTTGGACTAAGGCTGTTGGCAATAAATTTGGGACTTGTTGGGCCCACATTCCCAGGGGTCTGCCCACCAGGGAAAGCACCAAAGCCTATACCCCTGGAGACCCACCCACCGACACAGGGCAGTCCCAGGGAAGGCAAGCAGCGGGGCTGGGAGGACATAACCTTTACTGGGTAGGATAATCTCTTTCAGTCACTTCCTTGTAGCTTATCAGTAGAGCAGTAGAATAGTGATCTTGGAATAGCCCTTATAATGGAACACAGCGATTAACCTAGACAAGATTAAAATCAACAGAACTAGATAGAGACAGGATTTTTGGCAAAGGTCAGATAAGAAGCTATGGAATTGTCAAGGGCGGGGGGGGAAAAAAAGGAGACATATGTAATACTCTTTGTAATACTTTAAGCAATAAAATAATAATAATAATAATAATAATAATAATAATAAAAGAAGCTATGGAAATGAAACAAGGGATTGTAGAAGGTTACCCAAAACATATCAAGATGTGATTATAGAGGCATGCTTATAGGATCAAATGGTATAAATACAGATGTACCAGGACAATAAAAAGAGAACCTGGCTATGCTTATCAACTGAACGCTGTCTTCGTGTCATTCCTTCTTCACCGACTCCGTCCACACCTTTGGGGAACCCCTGGACCCGCTGGGGCTGGACCCCAACAGTTCTCAACCTGTGGGTTGCGACCCCTTTTGCGGTCGAACGACCCTTTCACAGGGGTCGCCTAAGACCATTCTGCATATCAGATATTTACATGACGATTCATGACAGTAGCAACATTACAGTTATGAAGTAGCAACGAAAATAATTTTATGGTTGGGTCACAACATGAGGAACTGTATTTAAAGGGCCAGAAGGTTGAGAACCGCTGCCCTAAGCAGAGAAGCCAGCAGTCTCAAGGATTGGCAAGGTAAAATTGCCAGGTGCTTCTCATGAATTCTGGAAAGGCCACAGAAAGTAGAACGAGACCTTGAGAATTTAATCTATACCAGCAGAGGAATTTTGAGACCTACAGACAGGAGGATATAGAACCCCTTGGAGCCCCACCCACCTTGCTCTTTAGATTAGCTGAGAGCCTGGAGGCACTTCATAAGCCAGATGTATAGATTTGCTTCTTTAATCATGTTTCTTGATTTAATAAACTGGCTTAATCACAATTCAATCAAGTTCTCTCGAATAAATTCATTTATATGAGAAGACAAGGATTGAGGTTGGGGACAGCCCTATCTGACTGGGGGGTTGCAAGGAGACTGATAACACCTCTCTGGTGTCAGTGAGAGGTGGCTCTAGCAATACTGAATATGCTGCCATGTGGTATTCAACCATACATAGAAGTATATGTGCATGTAGGTATGCATGTATTCTATGTATTCTTTTTCTTCCCCATTCTAATTAGCTCCTAGGGGGCCAGTAGACTTGCTGACATCTCCATTGCCAAGCCCCATGTTTTAAACCTAGTTCCCTTCAAAGTGTTTGACAACAGTCAAATGTAGAGACCAATAAAGCAATAGCTGGCTTTTCTTTTGAGAACTGAGTTTTTTCCCCCTTTACTATATATATGCTAAGTTTAGCTGTAAACTTATGAGCATAGAATGCAGAGAAAGTCTTTACTTGAAAATGTAATAACTGCAAAACTTAGGCTTAAGAATTAGAGGTATGGGTGTACATTTCAATTCAAATCAAGAAAGTTTAGAAGCAGTAGTGCAGAGAATGACGCTGTATTCTTTACTGTGCTAATATAGAATAAATAGCTTTTGCCTTCTCGGTGATTCAATTGTGCTTTCTTTATTGATGGTGGGTATGTGCCCACAGGCCTCTCATTCTAAGCTACAGAAGTCACATGACTGAATTGTTACCTGAAGACTTGCTTTCAAGACATTAAGGATATTAGTTTGCTTTTACAGCATATTGTCTCTGCATCTGTATCTTTACAATATTGTCACTGAAAGACAGTATCTCATAGGTCCTTGACAAGTTTTCTTGAATGTAGTACCAAAAAAATGAAAATCTAAAACATGCAAGGTACAGCAAACCCCTACGAGGGGCCTCTTTATTGAAAAAACAACAACACAGGAAACCAAGAACATTTTCATACACTGGTTAGACAACTGCCAATTATTTCACAACTGCACTAGTAACATACAGGGTACGGTTAAAGTAGGTTTACAGTTTAGCACACAAGTTTATTCTTTAATTTTTTCTTACTGGATTGATTTCTATACGAACAACTGAAACCCTAAGTTCACCCCACCCTGTATTTGGATGATTGATGACTGGATTTAACTTTGCGAGAACTCTTGCACTTGCACCTTTTCAAGAGAGCAGTATAGCATCACAAAACACCAGCCTATGTTCAGGTCCCTAAAGCCACCGGGCTCACTCCCTGCATTGCAGAGATGGGAAGTGAAGCACCAATTAAAGAGGCTCAAAAGTCACCAGAGGAACAGAATTGTCATGCAAATACTGTTAAGTGTATAGCTACCTTCCCATCTTGATCAAAAAATTGTAGCGAGAATGTAGAGCAACTTGACCTTGCCGTTTTCCTTTCCACAGCTGGACCCAGTGACCAAATAACATGCTAAGTAAACAAATGATTTAACCTGGAGAACAACGTTTGAAATTAAGAAAAAGGAAAGACCAAGTTTTAAGGTCTTAGTAAAATGCAGATAGTGCTTCAGGCAGTACTCCCATTCCCCCCTACCACCCCCCTCACACACTCACTTAACCCCAAGTGACAAAGGCAGTTATCCAAACTGCCCGAACGAGTGTCCAGCTCTTCCTAGGACTCTATGGGTGGCCCTAAAAAGGGCCTTTAGGATTGGTGCACGTGAGCCCGCAGCAGAGGCTTAGCCCCCGAAGCCATACAGGGTGCGACCCTGCCGCTTCAGGGCATACACCACGTCCATGGCCGTGACCGTCTTGCGCTTGGCGTGCTCCGTGTAGGTGACGGCGTCCCGGATCACGTTCTCCAGGAACACCTTCAGCACCCCCCGCGTCTCCTCATAGATGAGGCCCGAGATCCGCTTGACACCCCCACGCCGAGCGAGGCGGCGGATGGCGGGCTTGGTGATGCCCTGGATGTTGTCTCTCAGGACTTTGCGGTGGCGCTTGGCACCACCCTTGCCTAAACCTTTACCGCCCTTGCCTCTCCCAGACATCGTTACTAGGACCTGGAAACACAAGCCTTGGTCCGGGTGCGCCCAGCTCAGTCCTTAATATACAAGACCATCGGACCAGATTGAAAACCGCAAGCGCGCGGGCGGGAAGCAGCCGAGGTTGTCCCCGCCCCTCCCGTTCCTCCTTCCTACGTGTCCCACCCCCTTCTCCACGCCCCACGCCGCCCTCCAACGGACACCACCTGCCACAGTCCCGGGAGAATTCAGATTCCAAAGCCAGGCTTCCGGATTCCACAGCTGTTTTCGTCGTCTTCTAGTCGTCTGGGCTCCCCCGAGGAGTTAAATTTAGGCGAAGAGGAAAGGTCTTTCTGAGTTAAAATCCTGGCGAACTACCGGGGGATCGAGCATTTTGCCCAAGGACATCCAGCTGTCCCGCCGCATCCGCGGGGAGCGGGCTTAAAGCGGACGGCTTTAAGGAGACGCCTCAAAGGCTCTTTTCAGAGCCGCCACCTTTAGAAAAGCACCGTATCACCTTCCCACTGAGCCATCTCGCATCGCACACCGGTGTTGTGGGCGGAGGGTGTACTCGTATTTGTCAGTTAATGTCCTTTGGCCTGCTGACCGGGACTAGACGGAACAGCAGAGGCAAGATTGCTGGTTGACTTCAAGCCTGCAACACCATTCTTATTAAAAACTTGAAAAAGGGTAGAATCGGCTACCAGCCGTTCACAATATATTCAGAGGTGGTTTTACAAATGTGAACACAAATTGGCGGCGCCTTTTGAAGGTCATAAGTAATTCCCAATGCTAGCTTTCAACTCGTTCTAGTTCCTGGAATCATGCCGGATGTTAGGCAAAATGCTCAATTCCCAGGTAGTTCGCCAGGATTTTAACTCATTTTTAAAAAGGAAGGTGGGGGCCTGCCTGCTTCCTAGTCAGAGCATGTCGGGCCCCTGTGTCTCAAGGTTGTTTTTCCTTAATTGCATTTTGTTGGCTCCATTTTAATTTCTTCTTTAACAATAAACAGCTGGGACCATCCCAAAGCCAAGCCATGCACACAGCTGTAGTCATGTATCTGCAAAGCATCGAATTAAATGCACGCTTTTGTCACGTCAAAAAAAAAAAAAGGTGGGGGGTTAAGAGACATTGTGCCGAGTCCTGAGATGTGAAAGATCCCGAGGACTGGGGGGAGTAGAGGCAAGTTTTCTTTAAAAAATTAGGAACCCTTTTCCAGCTTTGTATTGGAAAACCACATAAATCCCATTTCTAATTCAGTATTTTCATTGCATAACACAGGTGGCGTAAACCGAAATGGGAATGTCTGCGGAATACCTGGGGGGGAGGGGGGGCGGTTCCAATGTGCGCTAAGGTATTGTTCCAAAAATCAAAACCGATTTCCACAAGGCACAGGACGAAACGATGGAAAAATAAGAGAAAGTTTAACTTGTATTTAGCTGGCGCTGCAAATCTCTTCCACACACGACTACAAGAAAAGGGAAAGGCAACAGCAAAACAGATCCCAAACTGGAAACTACCGCTTGATATAACTTCCTGGTTAGGTGAAGTAGGACATTTTGATTGGCTCGCAAGGGTTTGGTTCTAATAACCACTGAGGGAGCGTGAGCAGCGTCTTATTCACACCGGCTCTGCCTCTATGACGTCACTGTTGGAAATGAACCAATGAAAACGCAGTACTGTCCGAGTCTCATTTGCATATCGGCCCTATAAGTAGCTCGCAACCAACTCGCTGGTAATCGCGGTTGGTTCAATTCGTGAGCGGTTTCTCCTCCCGAAGATGCCGGACCCAGCGAAGTCTGCTCCTGCTCCCAAGAAGGGCTCCAAGAAGGCTGTGACCAAGGTGCAGAAGAAGGATGGGAAGAAGCGCAAGCGCAGCCGCAAGGAGAGCTACTCCGTGTACGTGTACAAGGTGCTGAAGCAAGTTCATCCGGACACCGGCATCTCGTCCAAGGCCATGGGCATCATGAACTCCTTCGTGAACGACATCTTCGAGCGCATCGCCGGCGAGGCGTCCCGCTTGGCGCATTACAACAAGCGCTCCACCATCACGTCCCGGGAGATCCAGACGGCTGTGCGCCTGCTGCTGCCCGGCGAGCTGGCCAAGCATGCGGTGTCTGAAGGCACCAAGGCCGTCACCAAGTACACCAGCTCCAAGTAAGAACGCACAGGAGACGCGATAGAACAACCACTTTACCCCAAAGGCTCTTTTCAGAGCCACTTCAGTTGTTGGAAAAGCAGCTGTAAGCACTTGTTGCGAGGCTGGTAAGCTTCTGGTTACATGGAGTGGGGCGTGGGGGGGGTCCCACGGTCACGAGTGTATTACGGCCCAGAGCTAGGTTGGGGCCGTAGGTTAGTTACTACGACCCTCCTGAGGCTCTCCTGTAACTGGCGGGACCCTGCGTGGTAACAGGTTTACCTTCTACCGACCCTATTTCCATGGTACTCAATGGATACTTAAGTACACAAGGCACGGAGGTTTTTTTCCTTCTTTGCCCTTAAGTGTGTTTTGACATAAGCTTGCTGGGTCTTACTCTCCCTCTCGAGTATGGGCAGAAAGATTTACTCTCCACTGGTTTTTATTCTAGTTATTACTAATTGTCTTTAGCTCATTTTATCCAATAAAACCATATTCTATAGTTTATTGGCCTACAAAGTAAGTCCGCACTTGACTATCTCCCACTTTCCTGTCCAGTAACTCAACCTGCCAGAAGCTGGTCCATCCCTGCTGCTTGACACAGTCGCTGCAGGGAAGAAACATCTGGCGTATAAATATGGCATACTGTTTTTTTTTTTTTTGCATACTGTTCTTAATATGTTTGCTCCCTTTCCTGGCGCTGTGTGTTTTAACCAAGGTTACCTCTCCGAGAAAGGTTGTTTCCCCAGGTAGAGATTTTTCCCTGAAGTTAGGGAGAGAATAAAACCCCTTAACTAAGTGCCAGGCGGGTAGTTAATCACTTTACGAACAATCATGCTTAAGCTACATAATCTTTACTCCCTGGAATGGAGATAAACGCCCTAACCTTTGGGATAGAAGTTGACAGGATTAAAATCAACTGGCATAAATACAGATGTAATAAGACAGAATCTGGCTGGAGAACTATGCTGATCAACTGAACGCTGCCTCCATGTCATTCATTCTTCGCCGACTCCGTCCACACCTATGGGTAACCCCTGGACCTGCTGGGGCTGGACCCCAACATCAACCAGCCATTTTGTCCCCTGTTCCATGGAACATTGGGCAATTAGCCAGAGATTGCTTGCCAGCACTTGAGGGGGGGATACTGTTAGCATCTAGTGAGGTGGTTCTCAACCTTGGCTGCACATTAGAGTCACCTGGGAATCTTTAAAATCCTCATTTCTAGGCCTCATCCTCCAGAAATTTCTTTGTTATGGGATGAGGCCACAACATTAGTAACAAAGACACAATTTCCGGAGGGCGAGGCCCAGAAATCAGGATTTTAAAAAGATTCCCAGGTTATTCTAATGTGCAGCCAAGGTGGAGAACCACTGATTTGGTGGGTGCTAGCATCTAGTTGCCAGGGAGCAGCCTCATAACCAATAATCACCTGGCCCAAAATGTCGCCTTTCCTGCGTAGTGAGAGAAACCACAGCCCAAACAACTTTCAGAGCATTTATTTAATCCTTATTTCCGTCAAACCTTTCCTCACTACCCAACCAATATTGCTCTTAGTGGAAGCTGAGCAGTAAACAGACTTGGACACCTCCACAGGAAAATTGTCTTTTCTGCAACAAACTTTCCTGGTTTCTAAGAACCACTTTGGTGAGATCTTTCCAGGTGACGTTCCTAAATTTCCTGGGGAGGTGGTTTTTAGTGCTCCCAGGTGTTCTGTGTTTGTGTGTGTGTGTGTGTGTGTGTGTGTGTGTGTGTTTAACATTATTTCAGAAAGGAAGGGAAAGGGGGAGAGAACATCAATGATGAAAGGACCATTGATTGGCTGCCTCCTGCACAAACCACACTAGGGATTGAGCCCGAATGTGCCCTTGACCGAAATCGAACCCAGGACCCTTCAGTCCGCAGGCTTTCTATCCACTGAGCCAAACCAGCTAGGACTTATTTTCTTAATAGGCTTCGGGGGAATGAATACAAAAGTCCAGAATTTTAACATGTGAGGTGAATATTTAAGGACCTCTCTGTTCAAAACCTGCATAACAATAATTCAAGACTAATCATGACAAAGGCTGGTGGGTGTTTTACCAAATAAAATATATCTTTGAGGCAAAAGGAAAATCTGTTTCCAATTCACTTGAATCAGGCTTTGAAATTAAGCCATTCTTGATCAATTTGGGGGAATTTACATAACTTTCTGCTTTAAATGAATTCTATCATTTTATTAGAAGAGTTCAAACATATCTAGTTAAAACTTGTATAAATTGGGCCATAATATATTTTTCATTGATAAATCACATTCTCAGTGAGTCATCTTTCCCCAGCCAGTACCAGACCACAAGAAGCAAGGGCAAGATGACTACACTGATGGCGCTCCACCAGGGACTGAGTTTGGGGGAAATAAAAAAGGTGGTCAGGTGAAAGGAGGCTCCAAGGCGCGCGCAATGAGTAAGCTTAAAAAACAAAAGAAAAGAGTAAGCTTAAAAAGTAAAAGTAAAAAGGCCAAAAACCAAAGTAAGGTACGGAGCCGAAGTGTGGTAATATTAGCTCGGTGTAAAACTTGGGAAATTCAGGAAATAAGCTGTAAGAAATAAGCGGTAGAAATAGAGATTAAGTTTAAAAAGCAAAAGTATGATAAGAAGGCCTAAAAACAAAAATAAGGTAGGGAGCCGAAGTGTGTCTTTTCTCAATCCTTTCATCCCCCCTGCTCAGGATCACCAGGGCCTGAGTTTTGGCTGTAGGAAGTGGCGTCGGACCAGGGACTGAGTTTGGGGGAAATTTAAAAGTGGTCAGGTGAAATGAGGCTCCAAGGTGCGTGCAGAGAGTAAGCTTAAAGAAATGAAAATAAGAAAATAAGAAGTTAAGCTAAAAGCAGGAAGTTAAGCTAAAAGCAGAAAGTTAGGCTAAAAGCAGAAAGTAAGGTAGGGAGCCGAGGTTTGATAATAGCTCGGTGTAAAACATGGGGCAATGCTTAATAAGCATTTTTAAAATTTTCTTAAGGAGAGAATAAGTAAAAAATAGACAAGAAATAAGGTAGAAAAGAAGTGGATCCCAAAAAACAAAACAAAACAAAAAAGTGGTAGAAATAGGGGTAGGAAATAAGTAAGATAGAAATAAGCTGTAGCTCTTAGGTTTTGTTAAGCTAAAGACAGGTAAGGTAGAAATAAGAGAAATCTGTAGAAATAGAGAAATAAGTAAGCTATAGAAATAGGAATAGAGAAATAAGTAGAAATAAGTGGTAGAAAATAAGAGATCTCTTTAAGTTGTAGGCAGTAGGAATAGAGAAATAACTAAGCTATAGAAATAGGCAGTAGAAATAGAGAATAAGTAGAAATAAGCAGTAGAAAGTAAGTAGTAAGAAGCAAGCGGTAGGAAGTAAGAAAATAAGTAATTAGGAGGTACAAAATAAGGTAGAAATCTCCTAGGTTTTGTTTAAGTCACTGTAAGAAATAAGTAGAACTAAGCGGTAGAAAGCAAGTGGTAGAAAATAGGCGGTAGAAAATAAGAAGTAATTAGGAGGTACAAAATAAGGTAGAAATCTCCTAGGTTTTGTTTAAGCCACTGTAAAGCAGAAGATTGCTGTGGTGATGATGTTTAAGGAAGTAATTTTTATTTCTGACCTAGATTGTAAGCTCTTGCAGCAGTTGCATTGTTTCTAGGCTTTGGTTATCTTTGTGCGATCTGATAGCTCCCTGGGACTTTAGGTCTGTGTGAGACGCCAGACTCAGAATTGGAAGTCTCCAGCTCTGCAGGACCGAGGGTTGTTTGTTTCCATGCAGCAGCGGCTAAAGAAAGAAGCTGAGAAGGGACCAGACTTCCACTGGCGTGGACAGGGCTGATTTGACGGGTACTGGTGCGGACTCAGTGTCGAGGTCAACCGTCCAAACAGTGTGATCCAGGGGACTGGTTTTGCATCAACGACATCTTTGCATCGGCGAGATAGCAGCATGGAGTCAGCTGGAGAAGATGGCGACTGAGGCCAAGCAGATGTTAGAAAAGCAAGTGGAAGCTGTGCTAGCATTGGTGAACTGTCAGTTTTCTGTAAAATCTTGCGGAGCTAAATCTAAGGACTTTGAGTAAGATATCCTGAAAATGTTGACATGTTTGTAGTTTGATTTTGCATTGGTATTGCTTTGTTATTAGCCAGAGTTTTGTTCTCTTGGTAACATTGCTGTTTATGGTTTTGTTAATAGCCAGAAGTTTGCTGTGATGTTTTGAATAATTTATTTAGAGTTTTTTGGATAATGTAAATAGGCGTGTTTAAAAACAAAAGTAAAGGGGGAGATATGGGGCGCGGCTACAGTGTTTTGGCCAGGTCCAAGCCTCGGACTAATGAGGTCTTCTCATTGCCACGTGCAAGTCCCAGCTGGAGGGCAGGGCCCTCCCAGCACAATTATAGCCAACGGCTGTGGTTGTAAGCTTGAACCTATGGTCCAAACACGTAGCCCCATGTGCCTTGTGGTAGAGTTCAGGTGCATATAGTTGAGTGCGGTTGAAACTCACGAGAATGCTGTGTAAACAACGTGATCATGCCCCTACTTTGCCTCGTGGCATCTGCTATAAAATAAAGACACGGCTTGTGGGCGCTGGCTCATCAGGGAGCAGTGTCCCACCGAGACCCAGCTTCCATTCTCTTATCTGTCTTTCCTTAATCCTTTCACCCCCCACTCAGTTTACCTTTGGCCGAAACACACTGAGAATCTAAAATCTCCAGTGAGCCCTGCCGGCTTGGCTCAGTGGATAGAGCGTTGGCCTGCGGACTGAAGGGTCCTGGGTTTGAAAACATTTAATTGCAATTTTAATTTTCAGGGGGTTGCATTTGGTATAGTGAAAGAATAATGAAGAGTTAAAACGTTAATTCATCATTGATGTTTCTATCTCTCTCTCCTTCTCCCTTCCTCTCTGAAATCAATAAAGAAGTATATTTTAAAAAATAAAAAATAAAAAAAAATCTCCAGTGAAAGCAGTCATATACAGCACATTTCATGGTAGGAAATTTTACTCAATAAGTGAGGAAATTAGCTTCTAATCGTCTTTAACCCATTTTACCCAATAAAGCCACATGCTTTATTGGTTCGTCCTCTACCCAGTGAAGCTATCAAATAATCTATCTGGTCTCCTCAGCTAGGACCCTGAAGTCCAGGTGCTCTGCTTCCTTCTCCTTGAGGAATAGGGAAATTGTTTCTCAAGGTCTTCTGAAATGTTACAGCATTGTCAATTTGCTCACCTAGTCAAAAGCTATCATTAATTGTCCATTAGGATTAAACCCCAATTCCTTGTCCTGAAACTATAAAGGCCTTCTACCATCTGGCCAAAACTTAAACTTCTTCAATTATTCATTTTCACCAGTGTTATACTTGATAACATCCTAAATTTCTCTTTGTGCTTTTGTTATATCATTCTTCTGTTACCGTATTCTCAGTTGTTTTCTAGACTATTCAAACCCTGCCAACCTGCTAGTTCTTTGAAATCTTACTGAAATCTCACTCTGGCCATGCCCAGGTGGCTCCGTTGGTTGGCGTGTTGCCGTACACCAAAAGGTTGAGGGTTTGATCCTCTGGTCGGGGTGCATATGGTAGGCAACCCATCGATGTTTCTCTCGGAAAGCATATCCTTGGGTGAGGATTAAAAAAATACATCTTACTCTATAAGCCTTCCCATCCATTCTACTTCACAAGGAAGTCTTTCTCCTTTTCTCTTAAGGTTTTGTTCCTTACACAATGATTTCATAATCGTGTAGCTTTGTGAACTGTGCAGCCTTGTTCCTTACCTTCTTTTTCATTGTTTTAAAATTTTCTAGTGTTTGTGGTGTGGGTTTTTTGAGGTGTTTTTGTTTTCTCTTTTGTACTTGGGATCTTCCACAAAGGCTATCCGAGTGCCTGTTGGGCGTTGTCCCATGCACTAATAGGTTGCCTGTTTCGGGCTCGTGCAGGAGGCAACAGATCCATGTTTTGCTCTCACCTTGATGTTTCTCTCTTCTCTCTCTCCCTCTACTTTCCTCTCTCTCTAAAAATCAATAAAAACATTAAAAAGGGGGGAGGGGGAGAAGAGATAAACAAGCTTCTCAGTGAAAGTTTGTTGACTGATAGCCCAAACCAAATTGATCTGGGGGTGGTAGGTTCAAGTGCGACAATATACCAGTATCCTCAGACTGCAAGGTCCCATTAAATGCTGAGCATATAAGGATGAATTAAAACAACTTTCACCACAGATATAATGATAATTTTCAGAACACAAGAGTTAAGGAGAAAACACCCAGAGAAAATTCTTAGAAATAGGAATCAAATTTATATCAGACTTCTCATTTGGGGACACTGTATATAAGGAGATAATGAAACAATGTTTTTTAAAATCTAGGGGAAATAATTTTGAAACTAAATTTCTATATCCAATAAAACTATCATCTAAGTGTAGGCAGCACTTAAAACCCTTATGGAAGGATTTCTGGAGTTATACTCCAGCAAGAAGAAGAAAAGATTCTGCCCAGCCAGTGATTCTGCCCAGAGAGGATGAAGAGAAATAAACTTGTAAAATTTACATTATATTATATTCAGAAAGAGAATATACATATTACTACTCTAGAAGTTCTTAGAAAAGCATAGGTTTTAGTATACATAAAAATATATATGTATTATGTATACAAAGCACTAGAAGAAGGATATTTCAAATTCCCCAAAGCACCAATCCATTAAGGAGTAATCATAAATTGTTTGCACTTAACTTAGACATATACATGCATATACTCACATGAATTGTACATACAAAGACTTTTAATCAATCATAATGGTGATTGTTAACATAAATACACCTTTCTCAGGGATTATTAGATCAAGTCAACTAAAATTGTTGAGGATATAGAGGATTTGAAGAATGTAATTAGCAAGATTAATCATAACCATATTTAAAATAGAAAAATACATTATTTTGAAATTCACATGGAATACTGGTGGAAACTGACCATGTGGGAAATGAAAAATGCAAGTTCAAGTGTTAAACCATGCAAGACATATTTACTAATTATAATGTAATGAAATAATTGAAAATGTTCTCCTTGACCTATACTATCAGGGAGAAACATATGAGTTAAAGAAGATATCAAAATAAAATTAAATACTTGTTAGAAATAAAGCACTATATATTAAAACCTATATATAGAGATCAGAGGAAAATCATAGCTTTAAAATATAATTATGAGAAAACAGAACTATTAAAAGTAATGAATTAAGCTTTTAATTTAAAAGCTGATAAAGGAACAACAAAACCTGAGGAAAGTAGAAGAAATGAATTAAGAAAGAAGCAGAAATCAATGGAAAGATCATACTTTCCCATGCTCCTAAAATAGAATTAAACAATTAAACCAAAATCTGGTTCTTTAAAAAGAAAATTAAAGGGTTAATCCTTCAGTTAATTGAGTACTGAAAGAGAAACATTACAGCAGCATTAGATATAGAAAATACTGAAACTATATTTTGATATATTTGCAAATATAAACAAAATATTTAATTTAAAATACAAATGATCAAATTTGACTTAAGGAAAACAGACTGAATAAAATATAGCTATAGGAGAAACTGAAAAGATAGTCAAATATCTACCCTTAATCCTGGCCCAAGTGGCTCAGTTGGTTGGAGTGTCCTCCCATGCACCAATTGGACCAGCAATTCCTGGTCAGGGCCCATACCTGGTTGCAGGCTTGATCCCCAGTTGGGGCGCCTACGAAAGGCAACCAGTCAATGTTTCTCTCTCACTTTGATGTTTCCTTCTCTCTCTCTCAGCGTGTCCCCACCTGAGGATTAAATAATACTTTTTTAAAAAAGCAGACCCAGACAGTTTTACCAGAACTTAAGGGGAGAGACTATATTATATAAATTGATCAAGATGATAAAAGATGTTATAGGTCACAATATACAAACCTGTTGTAAATGCCTATTTCTTCTCTTCAAGGCTTTATTCTGCCCTTCCAGAAGAAGTGGGCCTCAAAGTCACAGCCAGACTCCAGATGATTGCTGTTTCCCTGGGGATCATGTCAGTGCTTCCTCAAAACTAAATTATCTTATCGGAGAATACATTTGGGAAACGTATTTCTCCAGAATGTGTAAGCCAATTCTTTCTAGTGGTTCTTAGAGACTTTATACCTCCATTAACTCACGTAACATGTTTGGGAATCTCTCCCTTTAGCCTATGCTCCCTCTCCACAATTTACTTCCTATCCTCTCTAAGGGTTAAGGAGTAGTAAGTGCTTAGTGTGATGTGGAGATGAAAGGGGAAGGCATGAAGATGAGCTGCTTACTTACCCTTTGGGGGTTTTGACCCCATATTTAGAAACAAAGCAAGGAGTGAGGAATAAAGGAAACGCAGCAAACACTTTATTGGCTCCCATTTTACTGCTAATGTGCATTAGCAAAGTCTGTACCTAAAAGACAGCCCAGATTTTCAACTTCCAGCATTTTATTTTATTTTTTTAACATCTTGCCAAAGCTTAATATACAGTTCTCTTAGGGTCTTCTCTTAGGAATCCCACTTTGGGGATTCCTCCTGGGGCTAAGAACCTAATGGACTCTTGTAGAAGCACCGGTGGTCATAGAATGAGTTTTAGGGCTCTCCCTAGGGGGCTTGGAACATGAGGAACAAATCCTCCTCCCACCCCGTACCCTCCCCTGACCCGCCCTCCTCCTAACCAGTTGCCTGTTCTCCATAACGGTCTACTCTGGAGTGTGGAACTTAGGCCTGGGCGCCCTGGGGAGTGGACCCAAGAGCCTCTCCAATGAAGCCGTGGTAGGTCCAACAGACCCTGGCAAGCCCTGGCAAGCCCTGCTAAATCTGACAGCTCAGAAAGAACTCACCTCCTTCCCCCAAACCCAAACCCAAACCCACCCTCCTCCCTCCTGGTTGCATCAGTCAATCCCCTCCAGGGTCCTGTTCTCAGTCCTGGGACCTCCTGTCGTCGGGATAAAATGGGCCTTGGGCCCCTGAGGGTGCAGGCCCGGGGTTCCGCGATGCATTTCGGAGCAGACCTTGCAGAGCCTGGAGGCTCCCCGCACTGGGGCCTGCTGCTTCCGGCAGCCGCGTCCCTTCCCGGCTCCGAGGGCGGAAGAACAGCAGGAAGGCGGTCGGTACTTGCCGCCATCTCGCTCTCTCCCTGCCGCCTCTTTCTCGGGTGACTCCCCGGGCCCGTGTCCTCCGGCCCGCGCCCCTCCCCTTCCTGCGATCACCAGGCCGGGGTTCCGCGGGGTCCGGGCGGGCGTAGCGCTCATCCCGCGCGCTCCGTGCCTCCCAGCAGCCCCCGCGCGCGAGGCGGCGACCGAGGCTGCAGCTTCTACAGGCGGCCGCGGGGGTGGCGCTGCCGGCGGGGTCGGTGAGGAGGCGGGGTCGGTCCTACCCCCTTTCTTTCCCCCGCCCGCCCCCGCCCTTTCCCACCCACCTCCCGGCCCGGGCCCTAAGGGAGGGCGTTTCAGCTCCCGCGGCCCGAAGGCTTGCAGCAATTGCCTTTTGGCTTTCCCGCGATGCTGCGTTTCCTCCCGGCGGGGGAGGCCAGGTGTTCTAATCGGGAACCCCCGGGAATAAGTGGGGCCCTCGCCTCCCCGCGGGGCACTTTCGGTGGAGGAGAGTTTGGACGAGGGGGGTAACGTGGGGAGTGAACGACAGAAAAAAAAAAAGAAAAAAATGGTTTGTGTAAAATGAGTTTGTTTTTTAGGGAGAGGGGTGGAGAGGGGGGGTTATAGGGGGGGGTGAGGGTC